AATGACCCCCTCTAATGAAAACCTGCACGACACCTCTACCAGACGTGTGACTCTGTATGTAACCAATTACAAACTAACCCTTTATCTACTTTGTACTTCCCGCTTACAAAATGTACGTCAGCTGCTGTTCTACTTTAAGCCAGGGCTGATGGTTTGGACCAGGTCCCATCACCTCATCCCTCCAACTGCGTGGTGCAAAGCGTTTTCCACCAGGTTTGCTAGAGGTTCTGCACCCTGAAGTCCCTTCTCCTCAGTGTCAAGCTGTGCCACTGGGGTCTCTTAGAAACCGTTCCCTTTCCTCATCATTTTCACTTCACAGAGAAAAGCCAGAGCCGCATGGTGGCAGCCCCAGTGTGTGAGGACACCGCTCTTTTACCAGCTCCCATCCTGCCAGGCGGCCCGGGCAGCAGCATCCGCCATGTATGTAGATCACGTGACCACTGCACACGCGGCCCAGGCCTTGCTCAGTGAGTCTGAGACATGGATTCCAGGGGCCAGCCTGGGCCCCTCCACTCACGCCATGGACTCCAGGCAGGACGTCCAGCGCCAGCCAGGCTGTGGCTGGCAGGGCCTGGCTCTGCAGTCGCCGCAGCCCTTACCAGCCCTGAAGCCTGACCGTGTGCGACCACAGAGCCTGACTGAGGGGTGGCAACTGTGACTTTCTAGAAGCTTCCCTTGGACATGCATTCTCAATGAGGCAGCAGACTGAAAACCACCAGGCGCTTGTGAGTGAAAACGCAGCTCAGACCTGTGCTGTGCCGGACCAAGCGAGAGGCGCCGACTTGGCACGGGAAGCCAGCGTGCCGCGAACAGCACCGCGCATGGCAGGTCCAGCAACAGCCGATCCCACCAGAGGAAGGAGATCCAGACTGCTGGAGGCCTAGGGTCGGACAGGCTGGGCGATGGCAGGAGAATGGCGCAAGGGTGAGGGCACCTTCTGGGGTCACTGCGGCATTTGACAGCCGCCGGCTCCAGACCTGGGCCTCTGCAACGTAGTGTGAGAAAGCCCAGGGATTGGCTCAGTGTCATTCAAGCAAGGGCAGGAGGGCCTTTCACATGCTACCCACGCTGTCCTCCAGGTCTTCACACCTCAGATTACAGAGGGGGGGCTTGAGAAAAAAATCAAATCCGGAACCCGAGAATACTGATCCCACTTCTCCAGGGCAGGAGTTAGCCCCCACGCTGTGAGTGCTGCAATCCAGCCCGGGCAGGTGACCCTGGACACCAGTGCGTCATGCCAGGGTGCAGCGGTAGATCAGGGCCTTTGGCACCAGCCCCTGCCCAGAGCAGGGTTTTCTGTGGAGAAACCACTCCTATTATTTCAGGCCAGTTAAAAAAAACAGGGAATCTGAGTATCTGCCTTTTCTGGCAACGCGCCCCTCCATTTCTGGAAGTACAGGGCAGACTGTGGCTTACGAGGTGGACACCACACAGGGGCAATGAGCCCGGCTGTGTGCAGGCTTTGTTATGTATCCAGCCAGAGATGAAACAGCGCTCAGGGCGCCACCATGCAGGTCACCAAGAGGTAGGACAGGGTGGGTCGAGAAGGCGGAGCAGGCACACATCGACACATGCGCGAAACACCACTAATCCTAAAGGGAAATCAGGCTCATAAGCCAATGCTGGCTCCCCCGCCCCTCCTCCCTTGAGAACATGGAGCAAGGCTTCTGCCACCTTTCAACTGCTTTTTATCTTTTAAACACTTCATCTTCTTCTCCTGAAGTGCAGACAATATTACTGTCCTCAGGGGCACGGCGTGGTGAGCGCAGTGATCTCCACATACCCTGAATGTGATGTCCAATCAGGAATCTGAGCCTGGCTGTGACCCTCACAGGAAATCACAGCAGAGGAGGGGAGGCACGACCAGCAGTGACCCGCACTGGCCCTGAGCCCCAGCAGGTTTTTTTCCCAACCATCCGCCAGCTTCAACACGTCAATTAAGAAAAGGAAAAACGCGTGCCTGGCAGCGTCTACCCTTGCAACTTTATTTGCACCCTGGAGAAAGGAGGCTTCCTGCGGGAAGATGGAGGAGGGAGAGGCTGGGTTCTGACGGCAGCTACCAGACAGGCCCTGCCTACTATACTACTCGTCTGCAGCCCACACCGACCCGGAGAGCGCAGCTCAGCCATCCTATCGATGCAGGAACCTGCTCTTTCACCTTCAGACCCACTGCCGACCTCGCCCTATGAACACCGCCCTTCCTGTCTTCCCTGCGGGCCACGTCTTAGCTCAAGGAGCATCCAGCGAGTGCACCCACCCGTTTCTCTCCGAGCTTCACACAAGCCTCTGCTTCCCCTCTGCCCATGCTGGTGACCCTGGAGAGTGGGACAGAGGGCACAGGGAGCCCATGGCAGACTGGCCTGAAAGAGAGAGGCGGTATGTGAAATAGGGGTCCTCACATGAAGGGACCATGGGAAGCTGGAACACAGACAGCTGAAACATGCTGTATCAACAAGCAGGCCTCATTTTTACTTCATTAAAGTACAGGGTGGAGAGACAGTAGCTTCCATTACACAGTGGACGAAGTCGGCAGCGCACAGAGGAGACTGAGCCTGCACCTGGCCACACGGCTGCGTGGGCACCGCAGGGTTAGCATGCTCGGTGCGGCGGCTCCACTGTGCTATTTTGCACGCTGGCAAAGCTAGGGACTCCGACTTACCATGCCTGTGCTACAACTAAGGCTAGACCTTAAGTACGCCACAGAAGCCATAAATCGAGACGTGCATTTGCGTGACAAAGCCACTGTTGTAAACACGTTCTGCAGAAGCCGGGCACACAGGCGGAAGGTCAGCACAGCTCTGCTGGGGACCTGTGCACCGGCTCCCTGGGGCTCCCGCCAGCTCCTTGCTCCACAGCGACAGTGCAGCCCTCACTCATCTCTGCGCCAAGTTTGCCAGCCTGGCACTTCTGTGAGGAAAGCACCACACCAGAGGGAGGACACCAGACTCCTGCCTGCCCTGGAGGAAGCTGCAACCTCCACAGCTCACCTCTATGAGAAACCTCAGTGGGCCCATGACCCGAGCTGCTGCAGGTCAATGCGGACCCCAGGCCAGAACTGCGGAGGGCAGAGCCCCAGAGGACATCAGATGGGAACTCTGGGGACACCAAGGGGGCTGACCCTCTCACAGACCCCAGAGGGAACCAGCCTAAGACTGCCACAGACTCCCAAGCTCCAGCCTGTGGCCAGGAAGGTATGACGCCGTAACCCATGTTAATTCTCATGTCCTGATGTCCCCCCTTGGGCTTCAGAGACCTCTGCCCACCTCTGGCAGCTCTCTAGGGCCAGGGTTGGGGTGGCCATGAGCTGGGTCTCTCCTTGAGAGGACCTCGTCCACCACAGGAAAAGCCCAGGGTAGACAGTGGCTATGGGAGCAGGTCCCGTTCACAAGGGAGAGCAACGCTTCAACCCCAGGTGAGCTACAAGCTGGCAGACAGGCAGCTCCTCCAGCTTACCACCAGCACTAAGCCCCACTGCCCCTGCGTACCTTCCAGGGAGCACGCACCTGCCTCGGTCGCCTGGGCTCGTGGGCACGCACACCTGCTGGCGGTCGCCTGGGCTCGTGGGCACGCACACCTGCTGGCGTTCAGCTGTGCGCATAGGCGAGGCACTGTGCACCCGAGCAGAGGCCTAGCTCGAGGGCAGGGACAGCTGTGCTCCGAGGGAAGGGAGGGAGCCCTCACTCCTGCTGTGGAAGTCACCACAAAGGAAGGCGAGTAGGCGGAGGGTGTGGAGCGGCTTCCCACACCGATCCCACTCCAGACAGCAGGAGGACATCGAGCGGCAAAGCCAGGACAGCAGGTGACATTCTTCCCAGGACCGAGGTATCCTCGGAGGGGTGGAAGGACAGCGCAAAAACAGAAACCAGTTATTACTCAAGACATTTATTACAAATGTCACGAACATATTCATAAAGTAAAACTTGTTAAAAAAACAGCAAGTGAGAAAACAAGAAAAGCTAGGGCTTTGATATTACACCTAGGACACAGGAAGATGCCATCTGTATGAATAAGTACAGTTAACTACATTCTTAAAATAGTTTTAGTGCATTGCATTTTTAGAAAAGGGACACACCCTCACCCCAAGAAAAGGCTCCTGCAACACTGCACTGTTTGTGTGACCATCCGAATGGGACCTCCTGTCTGCTGCAGACCCCAGCTGACAACACAGGAGTGCTGCAGGCCACAGCTGCCCCCAACTGCTACTGGGAACCGGGGACACGGAGCATGTGGCTTCCACACGGACAGCCAGTGGGCCACTTCCCCTCCGGGACAGCGACTCTTGTGCCTGGGGGCCTGTGACGAAGTAACAGCCAAACTTCAATGCAATAGTTTTGGTATTAAGATTAAATTAAACATTAATGTTTTCTTCCAAAAACACAAACTAAATCACCTCTCAATGCATTTAAAACAATGAGGTAGGCAAAAAAAAAAAAAAGTAGGTTGAATTTTTTTCCTGCAAGTGCAGACTGTGGCGAAGCTGTTGTTGCACTTCTAGGTTTAAACAAAAATTAAACCTGTGACCGCGGCAGCGCTAGTAGTGTCACCCAACAAAGGTCTGGCCGTTGTACAAGATGCACGCGTTTTCCTTACCCTTTTTTTCCTTTAGAACCACCTGCACATGAGTTAGGCAAAACTTGGTACACAGAAAAATGGCTGAGTTCTTACCAGGACCACCCCATATCCAAAGAGACAAAAACAGGAACCCTAACCCCCACCCACAGACCCATCCACAGAAAGTCATCCTAGTAACTGTCTTTCACATTTTATAAATATTAACTTCTTAAACCTGCACCTTCGTCTTTGTCCACATATTGTCACATTACAAAAAGAAATGTCAATTAAATACATGTTAATGTCACTACATTAAGTCTGCTCTTTGCTTGGCAAGCTGCTCCTCACACCACCGCTTTCACCTCCTTGTGCCCACTGCCCACAGCCGGTGGGCGTCGTCCCTAATCCTGCGACACCCACAGGACAGGACAGGACAGGACAGGACAGGACAGGACAGGAGGGGCGCGCCCCGCTCAGAGGCCTGCCTGACCTCTAGCACCGGTGGGAGAGCTGGGGAGCACCCATGGCAACGTAGCCTGGGTTCACTTTTGAGTATGGACAAGAGGAGACCGGGGAGAAACTGGCAAAAGGGGGTGTCGGAGGCGCGAGGCCCGCGCACCACTGTCCCGGTGGCACCAAGTGGCTCCGAGCTCCAGTTGCAAGGAATTCCAAGTTCTCAGGATCTCGAAGACTGGAGTGGGCAGCATCCGGATGGTGCTGCTTCACCAACTCAGGAGAGACGTCCTGCCCAGGGTCATGAAGTAGACCTGACTGCTGCCGCCGGAGCGCACAGAGGCGAAGAACACCTGCCAGGGCAGACGGGGAGGTGAGCGGGCGCCTCCGAGCCCTCGCCGCCACCCATGCCCCGGCCGTCCTTCAGATCCATCAGACCTGCGAGAACACGTCACCGAGCTCCACGGGGAAGAAACCACTGCTGAAAGGCAGCGGGAACTGGAGAAGCCCCAGGGACGCGCTACCTTGTCGTTGCGTTCACACAGGAATTTGAGTCTTTGTGCCCTCTTGTGCATAAACACCCCATCCAGGTGACCAGTCTCCACAGACCGGATCTCGATGGCCTTCTCGCCCCAGCCCATTGTCTGGTTGGATCGGATGTATGCTTTCGGGGAGAGAAGAGACAGGAGAGTTAGAGATGAGGAGCCGTGGACCGACTGCTCGGGATGCACACAACGCCCCGCAAGCCTGGGGCCTGAGGCCTTGTCTAAGGAGCCCCGACTGTGCGGCCACTCTGTCCTAGCGTGGGAAGCAGGGGGCTGAGGCATTCCTTCTCCCCAGAGACGACCTCAGGCAGATCTAGTGCCCATCTTCATCGGCTCAGCAGCACAGAAAGTGGGGAAATGACCCGACTGGCAGCCAGCAGTCCTTAACCATGAGCCCTGCTCCTGAATGCAAACTGGGGGACTGCCCGGTGCTCCCCACTGAGACTGCTGCTCAAAGGCTTGCCTGCCCTTCCTCCTTGGGCCCTTTCCTTCTCCAGTCAGATGAAGGACTGTGATTATTGCTCCAAAAAGTACACAGCAGACGCGTGCATCCCCACACCTGCAGTCTAACCTTCCACGCCTCAGCCAAGCCCTCTGCCAAGTGCTGGGGAAGGGTGTAGCCCTGCCACCCAGCAGCCCACGGCCGCGCCCCCACGCGCCTCCTCCAGGGCAGCGCACCCACGGACGTCGGCATCTCTCCCCACTGCAGCACCACGTCCTTGGTGATCCGGCCGTAGGTGTTCACGTACACGCCCTCGTCCTCGTAGCACACCAGCAGCTCCATGCCGTCTGTGTTGGGGAGGATGATGATTGCGTGGGGCTTGATGCTGCACTGGATCTGAAAAGAGGACAGAGTACAGGCGGATGGCACGCGGCTTGCAAGCCCGCCACAGAGTGCAGGGAGAGGGTCTGTGGACACATGGTTCCTGCACTGGTGAAGCGCACGGCAAACACACAACATTCTGGAGTCACAAGCCACAGACGGTGCAAGGAATCCTTCCTCCTGGGCCCTGGGCCCCACGCCTGCCTGCCCCAGGGGGCTTTGCCCACAGCAGCTGCCACCAACTGTCCCCATGTTAGTCAAGCGAGGGCTAAGGGTTTGCGTGGGTGACAGCCCGCACAGAGAACTCACTTGTCGCTCAGCCTTCCCCGTGGGAAGTGAGCAGCCCCACTCGGTTAGCTCACTACGGAGAGCAAAGCACAGTGAAGCCAGTCAGTCAACCATAGCGTGGGTTCTTTCTTACGTGTGTTGGTAGGTAAATGTCGTACACTGATCCCGAGTCCACGTCCACAGCGTGGAAGCCTGCAGAGGACCCGTAGATCACTTTCAGCCGCTGGCCCTCCTCAACAGTGAGATCCACTAGCAAGGGCTTGTGCACCAGCTCTCCAAAAGACTGTGGAGTGAGACAGGCAGGTGAGAGGACGCAGAACTCTCTAACGCTGGGCCCCCAACGCATTGGTAGCCCAAAGAATCAGCACCTGGCAGACTAGAAACTGCACTGAAACCTCTCCCATGCAGCCCAGCAGGTACATGTGGCCACCCACCATCCTGTCGTGTGCTTCACTTAAGTGACCCGTGTGAGGTTCCCAAAGCTCTGCAATGCAGTGCCTGACTACTGCAGCACAGGGGTGGTGGGGTGAGAAGCAACAGGTGTCACAAACTAAGAATCTGGCCAGCACTGTCACGTGGTCACCATGTGAGCTAGCACGTCCCCTACCTCTGGTGACAGGCTTCAGTAGACTGAAGAGGCTGCAGCACCCCGTAAGCCAAGTTCCTCACCCCTCCCAGGACAGGCAATGGGGAAACTATACTGATTTCAAGTAGGACCTGGTGCACAAAGCACTCCGGCCTGACCGCAGGAGCTGGCCTGCTTCTGCACCTATCAGCTCCCATCAGTAACACCAGGGGTCGTTTACTTAACTCTGATAGTACCTTCATCCTGCCTCACTGGGGAACTGGGCAGTAAGTAGTCCAAACCTGGAAATTTCCCAAGCAACAGAACCTGACCGGTAAAGCCATCAGGACTACTTTAATTAGAATCACTTGGCATGAAAAGCTTAACTGCCACCTCACAGTACAGTAGGCCCTGTGGGTATTCTTAGGGCTGTGTGTCTAGTATTAGAAATGTTAGTTTACTTCCAGTATCAGAGCAGTTGGTTTTCATTATGACTTCATAAATTTGTACTTAGCACAAAGTCAAATCATAAAAGAATATCGTTGTTTGAGACATGGTCTCACTGTCAGGTGGGCCTTAAACTCACTTTATAGCTAGGATGACCTCTAACTCATAATGATCCTCCAGCTTTAGCTTCCTATAAGTGCTGGGATTACATGTTTATACACTCAGCTATAAAGGAATTACCAAAAATACCCAGACATAATGGCTGCTAATTTTATAGTCTTTGTTTTTAAAGAGCAACTTTATTTAAATACAGCATGTTGAAGACCCATTCAGCATACTATAAAATTTTCTGTCCACAACTCTTGGAAGCCACCGAAGGCAGACCCGTGTTCACAGACACCCAAGCATGATAAGGGGGGGCCATCCGAATCTCACATCAAAGCCTGGACTCATTTATCCTCAAACTTGTAACTGTCAAATGGCAAAATCATTCCATTTTAAATAGCAGTTTGTATGCTGCATCTGCAAATTTTTATTTACATCAAAATAGGACCAAATTATACATATTTTAACTTCATATTTCTATTTATTGTAAATATACATTGATTGTACCATTTATAATCTTAAAAGTTGTATTCTACTGAACAGCTATCCTTCAGAAATGCCTACTTTTGCATACATTTTGTTTCCTAAAGCATGTCCACAGCACATATAAATCTTTATATACTTTTTCAGGTGAAGGCCTGCTTTATATTTTTTTAATTAAAAAAATTTTTTTGTAGTACTAGGCATTGAACCCAGGACCCCTGCACTGAGCAAGAGCCCAGTCCTGGGTTTCTTTTTGAGACAGGGTTTCACCAAGTCGCCAAGCCGCCCAGGATGGATCTGAACAACTTGAGATCCTGCTGCCTCCCTCAGCCTGGACTTGCTCCTCCATGAGTGCTGGAGGGCGCTTTGCAGGACAGTGGAGACGCTGTGTCGCTTTCCTGTGGCCACCTGAGCACGCTGCCCACCCGAGAGCTCAGGAAACCGCAAGCTGAGCTGGTTGTGTCCCATCAAAGGGGCCTCTCGCAGGACTGAGCTGTGTGCTACAGTAGCGCCCAGCTTCAGATGACCGACATTAACTGTGTGGACTCCTCAAACTTGACCCTGCCCTGCGCGGCTGCTGCCACTCTGGGCACACCCGTGTGTGCTGTTACCTTAAAGGCCATGAATTTGTGATACGGCTTAGGGGCCCACGCGTACACTTCCACAGAGCTCTTCAAAGCAATCACCAGGAACTTTATTCTTTCATATTTTACTGGAAAAAATATAAAAGACAAGAGATGCACATGTCTGCATTACCGGCTTTTGGCTATCTCTCCAAACTACAAATATGCCTTCTGTTGACACTTCCAAACCAGCGGGGGGAAGGAAAATGCAGAGACCAAACCACACACTTCCCTTCCCAGCTCGGCCTTGCGCCACCCACATCTTCTCTGCTCTGATGCTCTGCAGGTTCAACCCTAAGACCTGGGGACAATCTGTGAGCACTTCCAGGGCTCCTACTCTGACGTTCTCAGGGGTACGCTTATCATCCAGGTCAATGCCAGGCACCCGACCCAAAGCTCAGTGATGAGGTTCCACATGTATGTCAGGAGGTCAAGAACTCTCTGCAGCTTAGGCCACACCCTGCCGGGCCCAGGGACAAGAAAAGCCATGCCACGCCACTCTTAAGAGTCATCTGTCAGCAGGTAAGAAGACCGGTGCCCGGGGCATGGCGGACTCTGATCACCCCCAATTTACCCTGGCCCGAGTTCCAGGAAGTTCCCTAACATTCTGCACCGGGAGAGACATGTACATAGCTTTCCAACTGTGCGAAGAACCTGCCCCTCTTCTAAGGCTGTTCCAACCCTCCCACATTTGGGAAACTGCCAAGGACCAGTGTTCCTGAGCACAAGTGACTCCGGGCTCTGCGAGTTACTGAACACCAAGCTGCGGCTGGCTCCTTGCTGCTTGAGAGGACATGTTAGTCTAATGGCATTGTCAAACTCCACAGTGTCACGTTTCAGAAGCACTGCTAACACTAAGGTACACAGGACTACAAGAGGCTGTCCAAACTAAGGCTCTAGCATTTTCTGCAACAACAGCGATGTACTCTATCTACAATGCTAATATGACAGCTATGAGACACATTGGCTAATGAACACCTGGAATGTCCCGGGGCTACCAAGGAACTGACTTTCAAGGTTCACTTAATTTTGACTGACATAAATAGACTTTACTACTCTGTTCTTGGTGACACTGCAGTGACAGGGCACTGATGGCATCATGCACACGCATCTCAAGAAAATCTTGGTGTCACATTGTGTAAGAGCAGCTGCTCCAAGAGCCTGGTATGCTCTTAGTTCAGCCCAGTGCACCCTGCAGGAAACCCCTCATGCAAGTTGGAGCTGATCAGAAATGGCTGTACACTTGCAGGGTGCAGCAGGGGCCGAGGACAGCGCAGACAAGAAGCCAACTACAGGCCCTGGGTGACAGTGCCTGGAGGCAGCATCAGGCCACAGGAGATTCGGGGGTCCACTTCTCAGGAACACGAGGTGCCACAAGAGTCAGAGGACACGTGTGCGTAGACCCAACCTTTCCAACCCTCCCACAGCTCACCAACTTTATAGTGGACACAGCCTTCCAAATCGCCCACGGTTGTCCAGCCTTGCTTCTTCTCAACTTCAGGATCATTGTGTAGTATTTTATTTCTCAACCAGGACAAATAGTAGACACGTAACTTATCCTTTTTACCTAGCAAAATAAATATCAATATTTTACACAAGTACTTAGAAGTGGGCATCATCATTAATAAAACCAAAAGAAACCAATAACCTCTCACCTCCCTTGTGGAAAAATCTTATACCAAAGCTGTCCTATAAGCTCAATGTAAGCTACCGGAACCCCTACACTCATCTCTGAAGCACCCACAGCATCGTCACAGGGCACGGACACGACCCTCAGGGAGCGTTAAAGGCGCGGAAGAAGTGCCCAACTGCACGCTGTGACGCCGAGGCCTGGGAGCCGGCCAGTCCTTGCAACTTGCACTGTGGTGACATCCTCCCATTCCAGGACCACAAGTGGGCATCTCTGGTCCCTCTCCAACCCCAGGGAGCACAGAGGGGCAGAAGCTGCAGTCCTTCACCATGCCAGGAACTGGTGATTACGTCTACAGAACAAAGGGTTCCTGAAAGCCACAGCAGCAGATGGTCTGGCTGGACCTGCAGGCAGCAGAGCACGGGGGCGGGAGGCTCCACACCTTTTCCCACTGCCACGTCCTCCACACTTGGGCCACAAACACAGGCCTAAGCTCTGGAGACAGCTCTAGCAGGTTACTCAAACCCGTGTGTGTGTGTGTGTGTGTGTGTGTTGGGGGGTCCTGTAAAGCCCACCCTATAACCTAGTGTCAGAATTCTCCAAGGCCTGGACTGGTGTAGAGCAGAGGGGCAGGGAATGATCGGAAAGGCAGTGCGAGAAGTGACCTGATTTGCAGGACACTCCGCTGCTGTCTACACTGCAGAATAAACGGCTTGCCCACTGCTGAGGAGAAATCACCACACCTTCAAAGTAAAAAATCTTCCATGCTGACTGCTATGGTGAAAACTAAGCGTTTCTTGCCCCCCATATTTGTTCAAATAAACGCCTGCCCAACAAAACCAATGAGCTTCTAAGATGCTTTCAAGCCCTTTCGCCACCTGCCTCTCAAATCTAGAGCTGCTGTGATCCCCCCGGACGGATGAGCTCAAGGGTGAAAGCAGCGTCCACCTGCAGGGACTTGAATGGGGGTCACGAGCAGTGCGTCACATAACTGGCAAAGGGTTTGCATCTCTACTATGTGACCAATTCTGATAATCAAATAGAGAAATGAACCACGAGACAAACTAGGAAGGCACTAGCATGGGTGTTTTGCAAAATCAGTGCATCTCACAGATACACAAAGAGGACCAACGATATTGGGTGCATGCTAAAACTATAAACATATAATTTATTTAACTATCAGTGTGTAAGATTTAAAAACAAAATCAAAGAGAAAGTGTAGAGCAACCAAAAACTTTATATAAACTAGTGTTGAACTTCTTTTTCAAGTTTGGCACTGCCTACCCTACATGTAATCCAGAGCCTTCCATCCTGGGGGGGGGGGGTGCAAACAGATGAACAGAAATGTTCACAGCAGCCCACCCTAAGAGCCCCCACAAATGCTTCTACCAACAGCAGACCAAGGGATGAAATGTGGCCGTCACGGAGGAGCCCACAGCGCCACAGGCGACCCAACCTTGGCACTGAGCCAGAGCAGCCCCACAGCCCCACCAAGAGGCTGAGAAGGGAAAAGCATGCTCCGCTAGTCAAGGAACAGGCCTTTAAAAAACAAAACAAACAAAAACCCCAGCACACAGAACCGCCTGGGGGTGATTCTGTGGTGTGGACAACGCTGGGGAGCTGGACATGGCCCCCGACCTCACCACTCCCACACGCACCAGCCGGGGTGTCCACCGCGGCCAAGACAGGAGGAGACTGGACGTGGAAGGGCTGGGAAGGAGGAAGCAACTCTGCCTACAGAAGACAAGACTGTCTAGTAGAAAATGCCAAAGAATGAGCAACAAAACAAAGCAACACCCTCTTGAAAGTAGCCAGCGATTACAGTGAGGTCAGAGGAGACAAGCCTGTGACACAAGTCACAGCCGTACCGCAAACTGGCCACAAAATAATTAGAATTGGAAATTTATGCACCATTTATACTAACACTACCAAGAGAAGTAGGCTTCAAGCAAACAAAATAGCCCCTTTCAATATCTATATATTCAAGGAAAACAACAAAACTAATGAAAGCTGTCAAAGAACAACCAAAGAAAGGACCCAGGCTCACGGATGGCAAGACTTCACGCCTGAGCACAAGCGCACATTCAACACAACCCCAGTGAAAACCACAGCAAGCTACTTTGTACCCATCAATAAGCTAGTGCCTGGAGGCAAAAGACCCAACACAGTCAACACGCTCCTGAAAACCTGCCAGCTCCCGAGCTGGAGACTCACTACACAGCCACAGTAAGCTGCGCAGTGTGGTTCTTAAGCAAGAGAACAGACAAGCTGAGCAGGGAACAAAAGAGCCCGGACAGAGCCCCGCAAAGGCAGGGGACAAAGCTCCCACGGAGGAGCACAGCTGACTGCAGAGCAAACCTGCTGGCAAAAGCACAGCTTTTTTTTCTTCTTCCAAATAAGTGCTGTCAGAACTAAATACCCAAATGCAAATTAAAATGAATTTATACATTTTCTGAGAAGATAGGAGACAGCCCAGGTGACACTGATTTGGCAATGTTCTAAGATAAGGCCAAAAAAATCACAGAAGAAAAAAATTATTAAGCTGGATTTCATTAAAATTAGAACAATATAAGAAAAAGTGAACAGATAAACCACAGAAAGGGAAAAACTTTGAAAAACATGACTATGATATAGAGTTATGTCTGAAATACACACAGAACTCTTACAATTTAACAACGGAAGAAAAGCAGCCAAAGCACAGAACGCAGCCATCTGCGAAGGTGCCTGACCTACCAGGTCCACGAGCGTCTCAACTGTGCTCACCACCACCTACCTACTGTCAGGGACTTGCACACTTCGACGGCTAGAGACCACGGCACTGACCTGCCAGGGAGCTAAACCCACAAGGCGATGCCCCGAGGCCCACGGGATGCAGAAACGGAAACCTTCACTCACTGCCTGCACGGTGCCGACCAGGTGTGCTCGGGGGTGCCACCAAACACCTGAGGTGAAAGCTCATGTCCACGTGGAAAGCTGCACACGAAGACCTATACAGCAGCTTGACTCCAACTGCCAGAGCTTGGGCGCGATCACCAAGGCTTTTAATAAAGAGACTGGATAAGCCACAGTGCACCCGTGTGCAGAACATGACTCAGCAATAAAAGGAAAAAGAACGAATCACAGGAAGACCAGGGGAAATCTCAAAGGTGCTCTGCCAAGGGGAAGCAGCTGGCTACCAGGCCACAGAGTACCCAGCCCACACACTCGACCACGTGACAGCTCTGGAAAAGGAAAACCGGGGACAGCTGCAGCCAGGGCCCCAGGAGGCAAGATGAACAGTGATTTCTAAGGCACTGGATCTTCCCTCACTTATCAGGAATGGTTAGTTTGTCTCTCCAGACATTTGCTGAGCACCATAGAAGGTATCAGTGAGTGTGAACCTTACCACAAACAAGCTACTTTGGTTTCTAATAATGGGTTACTACTAATAATTCACCATGTTCCACTCTACACAAGATGTCACTGACGCGAAATCCATGCATGTCCCCCCTTGGGCTCCCACTCAGATTGTACCTGCCAGCACAACCAAAGCAGTCTGCTGGGGACAGCCACCAGCAGGGCCCAGGGAACCAGTAACTCACCAGAGATCGTCACCAAGACGTTCAGGCCCTCGAGCACATCCATCTGCTGGAAGCGCCTCCGGTTGATCAGAGGGTACACTTTCCCCTGGCCACTTCTGTCCAGCAGCATCAGGCCACTCTCTGTGCCCACCAGCAGATTCACCCCTGCATGGAGGACATAGAAGGCCACACGGCTCAGGACCTGCCAGCAGGCGGGTCGCCTGTGAAAGGAGGGAAGTGCGCCCGCCTGAGAAGAGGACAGAACGGAAAGTACACAAGAGGAGTCAGAGCTGGAAGTGGCCACACCAGTCACGTGGTGGTGGCAACACTGCTCCTTAGATATGAGAAAGGAGGCCTGAGGACCAGGGGCCCCCTGGTGGTCTTTGCAGCCCCCCATTCCACGTCTTCCTCAGATTCTTCTCGAATGCACCAAGCCCTCGGTGTCCCATGTGTGAGGGCAGAGCTGACAGGCTGTTTGAGGGGTCTAGAGGAGGGGGCAGGGATGGGTGGCCTGGTTCACAGCTTGGGGAGGCAGGGGCTGGACAGCTGCCTTTAAATGGCTTTGGATGTCAGGCTGGAGCCACAGGAAGCACTCGTGAAGGCAGTGGGAAAGCCTTCAGCGCAGCGGCAGGCTGCTGAAGTGGCCGGGAAGGCCCCACTCGGCATGGGAGAGGAGTGCCAGGCCTGCACTGGAGCAGCGCTCCGCAAGACTGAACAAAGCACCTACCCCACAGGGCAGCACACAGGATCTCCGAGTTAAACCTCTTCTTGTATTTACGAATCTCGGGGGTGTCACTCTGTGGCCTAGTGTTGGTGGGGTTCACATTGACCACTGAGCCTTTCCGGGTAGGATCCTGTCTTATGGCTTCTGGCCTCATTCCATCACAGGAAAATCCCACTGCAACACAGGAGGTGATGGTTACCCCCCACACACACACACACGCGCGCGCCACACCAGCCACCCCACACCGCCACACCACTTCAGGCAAGGTCCGCACAGCGTGACTAACACTGTTGGCAAGGAGACATCATATGAGAAGCGTGCACTGAGAAAGGAGACCAGCTATGAGCTCACTTCCCATTGGAGTGGGTGAGGGCTCTACCTGGCCAGTGAGCCGTGGGGACAGTGGAAAGCGACCCAGCCCCGGTATCAGCTCCTTCCTGCCCCTACTGTACTTACCCACAGAAGTCACTGTTGTCCCGCTAGATGGAGAAATCTGTAGTAATCTGGGGTCTATAAAAGGTGTAAAGGAGGAGGAAGATTTGTGTTTCTGGAGTGTGCTACTAGCGGACTGAGTCTGCAATGTAAATTTCAATTTTATTAATACAGAGAGCATTTCAAAAGTGAACATTCAAACATCCCAATCCACTGCTGTACTGCACTATTGCCAACCCGACCTGTTGCCCTACAGGGTCCCCAGCAGCTCTTCGGGACACGGCCCCCACTGACCCCCAAGCCACGACTCTGCCAGAGAGTGCAAATCGAGGGCAGTGACCTGCAAGTCACCAGAAACACCTAATCTTTGGACTTCTAGCTGTTTATTAAATAAAATAAACCACTGTAAACTCCCAAGGAACATACAAAATATCGTGGTTGCAGTTCGCTACTTTCTGAACACACTTTCTACCTCCCAAAGTCCAATGACTATGTTGGAATAGTGGCAAATTTTCATTTTATTTATTTAAATGGAGTCTCTGGCCAGAAAGCTATGGAAGCTCTGGCCGCCACTGTTTTAAGGACGCGACACTGTGAACCCACAGCACACAGGAGCTCAGTGGTGAAAGTGCAGGTGACAGCACAGGCAGTCCTTGAGCTGGAAAGAGCGCCAGTGCTTTGATTAATAATGCAACTTAAAAAAACAAAGAAAGTGAAACAAACCGTTAAGTGGAAATGTAATGATGATTAAAAACAAAACAAACAAAAATAAACTGGCCAGTTTAGTGAGTTAAGGGTTATAGTAAGATACAGTTAAGATGAAGCGCAGTGTGGGTAGAGGCAGGAGGCAGAACGCCAGTGTGGGCGGCACGCAGCATCTCTGGAGCAGGCCTGAGCGGGCTGTCCCCGACTGCCTCACACCCCCCACGGCTCTGCTGAGCCCTCCCTGTGCTCTGGGCAAGGCCAGCCTGGGCAGCAGGGCCTGCACCTGCTGCTTGGGTGGGGAGGCCTTCCTGGTTCTACCAAGGGGGCCACGGTGGGAGCAGACACTAGCGCAGCTCCATGTGGTGCTTGGGACTGGCTAGAGCTAGAGCCTCTATCTCCCCTGACTTCTGGCTACCCCCATGGGGAGCAAATCTCTGGGGGCCCAGGCCCTCACTCCATCAAGGTCAGGGTGCTCCGGGGGCAGGACCCTGGGCAGCACCCCGCTCGCGCCCAGCCTGCGGCGCAGCCAGGCCCACACAGCGCTCCCAAGCACGCTCACACACGGCCCCGGCCTCATGCCCCTGCTCCCCTGCATTTCCCCCGAAGCACTCAGCCCGCTTCAGGTGAGTGACTAAGTTCAAGGAAAGAAATTCTTTTAAAAGGGTTGGTGAAAATCAGAGTGAACAACCAACAACTACCCCCTAGGAAAAGAAAAAAAGGGAATAGAACAACACACAAAAAAATCCAAGCCTAGTTTGAAGGAAACAGCTAAGAGAATAAGGACCTTGTTGGGGTAAAGGCCAAGTCCACGTAACAGAACTTCCCTACTCTTTATCCATGAATGAAAAGAATGAAAGGGGCACAAATGACTACAAGAATTTCACGCCAAATATACAATGAATCTGAAAACACAGCAATCACTGTATTGCAATTTGTAAAAATTGAATTTAAAAAGCCATGCAACTCCCCTTATCTAGAGAAGGAACACAGGGGCTGGTGGGTTTGGGGGACATGGCTCTAGGGCTGGGGTCTGTCTGCAGGTCTGAAACATGTTGGGGGTGCGGCGGGCGGGCGGGCGCTGTGGTTCCTGCGTGGCTGGCTCCGGGCGGTGCAGCGCTAGCCCAGGAAAGCAGCCAGCTGTGGTGCGAGACATACCTCGTTAGCAGCGAGCTTGTCCTGGGGTGTCTGTGGGGACATGGTGGGTGTCGGCTGGCTGGAGGATGGGGAGGAGGAGGTGGAGGAAGTGGAGGAGGAATGGCTTTGCTGTAAGAGATCTGGCAAGAGGTGAATGCGACCGGCAAAGCCATTGCTCTCATGATGGCTGGCACGCTTTTGGTCAACTGTACTCTGTAGAAAAAACAGGCACACTGGTCTCGCTCGAGCGCTGCTGACATTGCCTACCCCTAGCACTAAGTGCTTGCTCACGGTGCTGTGCAACTTCCGACTCTGCTCAGTGACCAAGGAGAAACACAGAATTGGCCCACGCGCTAACACTGCCCGGCCAGGCGCTCACGCTGTGCTCACAGAACTCAACTCCACAGGCGCGGCACAGCTGAGGCCAGGAGAGGCTCCCGCTCCCTCCAGGCCCAGCTCCTCACTATGCCCTTCGCTATCCTTCTCGCTCTGCAGCTCTAGAAGGGAGCCGGAAGCTCCCGTGAGTCCCGGTCCGGCCCCTCCCTTCCAGCTTCCCTGCACACCCTGCTCAGGGCAGTCCCCAGGAGCAGGAGCAGGTCCTGCTCCAGGACCTGTCCCTCGGTGGTGGCTAAGCTAGGGAGGGACAGAGGGCTGTAATGGCAATCAAACTGATCTGGAAGGACACATTGGAGTCTTCAGGAAAAGGAGCCACTGTGTGGGGCACAGGAGCGACCTTCGGCCTGTGCCCTGGGAGACCCATCCTGCCTGGTGGCCACTGTCTCACCCTCAGGCTTGGGGAACCAGGCTTCTGGGTGGAGCCTGCCTTCAGACTCCTGGGTTCTCCTACGCTCAGACACAGACTGAGACTTGGCGTGAGCTGGGATGAGGGCTGCCGCGGCATGCAGGGAGCAGCAATGTGGTGGACGCTAGCAGCTACCTGGGCATGCAGCGCACACCTGCGTCCCTGCCCTGGCCACGCTCCCCTGGGGCTGTTACCATGAGAACAGATGACGATGGAGAAACAGCGTGAGTGAGTGAGTGGATGAGCAGGTGGGTTAATGACTACAGGAGCAGCTCAGCCTCTGCCAACACACTAGACACAGGTACCTGGCGCACGATCAGCGTGCCCTCCTTGGACGGCGTCATGGCTGGCTCGCTCTCCACATCGTCATGAACGATCATGGTCTTCACAGACTCGGTTTCGCCATTGCTCAAGCTCAGAGACGACCTGTGGGGATGAGATTTGGGGTGAGGTGCCAGGGCCCAGGGAGGAAAGTCCTGCTGCTCTGCCCGGAGAGAAGCCATGCCCCCAGGGAGAGCGTCCCTGAGCAGTCCCTTCTAAGAAGAATCCCTGCATCAGTTTATTTCTGAGCAAAAAACTTATTGGCTGAGAACCCTTATTGGCTAACTTCCCCTTCATCTCCTCATGCTGGATGGCATGGCCTCGCGCTGGCCCAGAGCCCTGCCCCCCGCCCCCCAACAGCACTGACGCGGCCCTGGAGTCCTCCGGCCCCGAGGTGGGCTCCTCTGCCCCGTCCTGCTCAGCCTCATCGTCGTCCTCATCTGTGGTCCCCGACTCCTCGCTGGAGGACGAGTAGTCCGTCACTTTGTGGGGTGGCCGCACATCCTCCACTGCGCGGAGCTCTTTGGCCAGCGCGGTCAGGTCCTAAGGCCAGGACAGAGAGTCAACACAGGGCAGTGGGGGCACCTCAGGCAGTGGGAGCCCTGCCGTAGTGAAGGACACACAGCCACCACATGCACTCTCTAACACTGGTCAGCACCTGCCTGTTTCAAAAAAGGAGAGCTTTGGCAGGGAGTCAAACAGTCAAAGGTTTTTAAAAAGACCCCCACCAAAAACCCACTGATGCAGACAACTCAAATCTCAGTGGCACAGCAATCTGCTTGTAAGCTGACAGCATGCCTTTGTTTTCATTTTCAAATATAAGGTAAAACTTGTATATCCAAAAGTGTAAGTTGGGCCTGGTGGTGGCTCATGCTTGTAATCCTAGCACTTAGAGGCTGATAAGGCAGGAGGATCCCTGTGAGTTTAAGGCCAACCTGGGCTACACAGTGAGTTGAAAGCTACAGAGGACTGCAGAGTGAAACCCTACTTCAAAAAAACAAGACAAAACTCTACATAGACTGCTTGCTGGCTTCCACACCAGCGTACTGGCACACGTGAGCCAAGTGTCTTTAACAGGAACCACAGTACCTGGGAAACAAGCTCCTAGCCAAAACAGGTTGCACTGAAACTCTTTCGGTGCTCCTCTAGCTTGTGTTGAAAGCTCCAGGCCTACAGAAAGGTGAAGTGAGCTCCTCGGCTCCCAAGCACCAAGACTAGAGGGCGAGGGCACCTGTGGGCAGGCAAGCGGGCAGTCTTCGCCTGCTATGCGCTCCAGCCGTGACCAGCGGGCATGGGAACAGGAAGGAGACTGACCCCAAGGCAGGCTGGACAGGGCTTCTCTGCCCTTCATCCCGCCCTACTTAGAGACTTCAATTCCTATCTAGTTACTGAGTACAACCTAACACCAGAGCCGGGAGGATCACTGCATGGTGGAAGCTGCCTGCGCTGCACTGTGAGTTCAAGGTCAGCCTGCACTACACAGCAAGGCCCTGTCTCAAACAAACAAAAAGAATAGTCATTTACATTCTGTATTCAGACAAATCCTAATTTCATCTTTCAACGTGGGAATTTTATTTAAGAGTAGTGATTTCTTTTAAAAAGCTATGCAGCCTTTTCTCTTTTAACAGTTTCAACAGATTTTTCTCTGCTGCCCCAAGGATGTGTTTATTATTAGTCTGCAGGTCTGGTAAGGAACCAAGTGTCAGGTCCCTAGTCTGTCTAAATACTTAATGTTTACAGTGGTAGCTTTCTAAACAATTGCTCACAAAAGTAACAATTAATGAAAATGAGGACGACAATATATCAGCATTGCATGCGTGCAGAAAACAGAACTCTCCGGCTTCCACCGGAAGGAGTTGGAAGGAGCTGGAAGGAGCTGTGAGGGCGAGCCAAGCTTCAGGGGCTGGATGCACAGAGGGCGTGCTTACCACTTCACTCTTGAGGGCCGCAGCAGCGCAGGTGTCCCAGGTGCAGACAGAGGAGGCAGAGAGGAGAAGTGCAGAAATCAGGTCAAGCAGGAAATCAAAGCACAACAGGCTTAGAAACCACAACCCGTGCAGTGAAGGGGCCAGTTAAGTGGAAGGATGGGGGCAGCGGGACAACCCCCACAGAGCCAGGGGCAAAACCAGAGCAGCTGAGCTTCACACACAATAAACACACACTTATTTTTTGCCGGGTGTGGTGGTGCAGGCCTTAAAACCCAGCTCTCCGGGAGGCGGAGGCAGGAGAACTGCAAGCCTGAATCTAGTCTAAGCAACTTAGGCAGATCCTGCCTCAAACTATAAAATTTTGAAAAAGCATTGGGAATGTAGTTCGGTGTGGAGGTACTTAAAAAAAAAAAAAAAAAAAAACACCTAAAAGCCAGTAAACACCCAACCCTTCAAGAGTAAGTCAATACACTTTTAAAATGTTAACATCTTCTGTTTTGTTTGTAATTCTTTTTTTCCTTCATGTATTTGGTACAGGATCTCATTATACAGCTTGGTCTTGTAGTGCTCTTCCCATTTTCAGCCTCCCTCCCTAGGATTCTAAGTGTGTGCCGTCACGCCTGGACTCAGCTGCAGGCTCTGTGTGCCCCGGGGTGTGGCTAGAACAGCGTTCGGGACCAGGGATCAAACCCTGGTCCGTGTGCTTGCCAAAGCAGGCACTTAGTACGCTGAGCTATCTCGCCCGGCCTTCTTTCACTTGTAGTTTTCTTTCCTCGTAGGGAAATTTAATTAAGTAAAAACTCCTCTGTGTTTCTCTGTAAAGCAGCTGAACACAAAGTATATGGCTGTAGTGCTAAAAAAGAGGTTTCAGTCCCCTAAGGACTTCTTGTAGGAAGGAAGATGCTGACAGGAGAAGAAACAGATGTGCGCGGGTACAGGGCCACCGCCGTGGTCCACTCGAGGAGGCGCGGGCAGCAAGAGCTGTGGATCTCACCACCTTTCTCCTGTTTGCCTCGCTGGGAATCCAACCGAGGCCCATGAGCAGGTGCCCTACCACAGCCCTTTCACCACACTTTTCATAGAAAAGTCTCCCTCACACTGGAAAGACAGATTTGTGCAGTCCTTACAGCGGGCTTCAGGGGTCTGAACACTTCTTTTTTGTCCTCGGGCTTTTTTGCCGCATTTTCGAGACGCTGTGATGGAGAGCCTTCTGACTTAGAGGACGCTGTCAAAGCAAGAGACACAGAGAGTGCACGCATGAACAGAGACGCATGCTGTGGAGCTGCGCAGGCCCTGGCTGCCCCTCCCCCCACAGTGGGGCTCCCAGGGACCTTGGGGTCTCGCACAGCAGGCGCCCTCACTCAACACCCCCAAGGTCAAGCCGGGAAGGGCAGCTTACATCTCACTCGGAAGCGCTCTCCGGAGCCACTCTGAGACCCGGGGTGGGAGCCAGGCTGGGAGCCGGAGTTACTGGACCCCGAGGAGCTGCCACTGCCTGGCCTGGGTACCAGCTTCTCCACTCTCTCCCAGAGGAGCCTGGGCTCAATACTGCTGTAGGAAAGAAGGACAGCGAGCGCTCGGCTGCACGCCCAGGGCCCAGCACAGCCCTGAGCAGCACTGAACCCCCAAGGGCATGACAACCTTATCCCTGGGCTCCCAGCTAGGTATCCTAACAAACCCTAAGTACACCTAGTACACCTCAGTCCTCCTCAAGTACAGGGCAAAGCTCATGGTTTCATCCAGACACCCGTCATGGTCAGCTGGCTACAAACTCTGCCGCACACACACCCCCGGCACCATCCCTCACAGGCTGTGCGCCTGGGCAGGCTAACTCTGGACCCTCTCCTGTGAGCAGCACGGGGTGCGCTCCAGGAAGCACAGGAATGGCGCAGCCCTGCGTCCTGGCGACAGCTCTGGGGGTCTCACGCCACATGGAAGCCGCTGGGCAGAGCCAGCTCAGGCTCGGCAATGCTCGAGTTCTAAAATGTACCCTGCAAGTTTTTTTCTTCCCAGGGCAGGCTGGGAAATAAATGCAGCCCTCTCAGCCAGGAGCCACCCACGCAAGGGGCTCAAGGGTCCACTTCACCTTAATTACGTTAGACTCAAACTCTGATGCCTCGGGTTAGAGCTCCTGCAGGGACAGAGCTGCTCCGAAGCAGCATTACGTGGCTGACTTCCTAGCCCCCTGCAGGCCGTCAGGCGGCCACTGACCGCCTCAGGACACGCCCACGAGGCCTGGCAGCTTCGCTGGGACAGGGAGTCCAGCAAGCAGGGTCTTTCAACCCTCTCCGCCCCCACTGGCTCTCCTCCCCTCAGGTCAGGTGGATTTGTTTCCCAACTACTACCTCAGACACCTTTTACTACAGATCCACCTGACATCATTCACACGACTGCATGTGAATAGCGTAAAGAAGCAGGCTGATCGCTTCATGCTGGGGCTTCAGTGTTGTGCACACGTCCACCAGAGTGGACGACCGAGGTCGACCAGAAGCGCAGAGCCTCCTCCAGCCCGCCCCGCCTCCTCACCTGGTGGAGTTTCTCTGTCCTGCTTGGCTATTTTGCTGCCCACTGCCCTGCAGTGGGGAATCTCGACGGGACAGGACAGGGGAACGAGATGTTGTTCTCACAGGAACCTTTAGGCAGAAAACACAGCATTTAAGTTACTGCAAACATTCAGAGAGCACAGAGCTCCCCACAAAACACTTTTAAAACAAGCCTTACTCTCATCCTTGGCCCACTTCCCCAGTCCCCCAGTGACAAAATGGGGAGAAAAAGTAGCCCAAGGCAGCCCAGGAACTGGACACGCGGCCCATCTGTGCTCCAGGACACATCAGTGATGGGTGCCCTGAAGCCAGGGCCAGGACAGGGGAGAGCACCTTGCTGAGGTAAGGTAAGACTCAGGAAAATAAGCTCAGAGAAACCACAATGATCTAAAATGCGTGGAGGGAGCAAAGGCTGGCAGGAAGCAGAGAGCTGGAGGAGGCAAATTCCAAATGCAGGAAAAAATACAAGAAAATATGCCCACTGTATAATCTCCCTGCTAAGTAACAAAAGACACTTCGATTTAAAATGGAAAAACAGTATTGTAAGACCTTTCCTCAAAACCAGTACTAATTAACGTACAAAAATAATAAAAAGCTTCTGTATAAATCTGTAAATTCTTTTTTTTTTCCCTTTATCTCTTTGAGACAGGGTCTCCCTATGCAGTTTAGGCTGGCCTTGAGCTCACTGGGGAGCTAAGGTTAGTCTCACAACTTGCCATGATCCTCCTGCCTCAGCCTCCTGAGTGCTGGGGTTGCAGGCATGTGCCACCACACCCAGCCTTAGAAGCATATCCTTTATAACTCTCTTCTCTTGTTTTATGCACAGAATTAACGAGATAAAAAGTTAATTGGCCACCAGATGCTTATGACTGCCTACCTGGAGATTCCTCCCCACCATAAAAAGTTCCTCCAAAACTCCACTGCCCTCTAACTCAAGTGAAAGCTCCAGCCCATAATACCCTCAAGTCCCACTCAGAAAGGGCAATAAGGAAGTGGCAGGCGACCCGTCTGCCTGCTCCTTACCCGTGGAGGCGCCTCGTCACTGTCTGATCTAGCCCAAGCCTTGGGGGTGGGCTCGGGCGCCTCCGACTTAGGGTCGGGGCTCTGACTGAGCGCCTCACTGCGGGAAGGTGGACATGGGTCCTGAGAACGAAGATGGTGGTGTGCGAATTTGGGAGGAGAAGGATCGCTGAAGGAATGGGACCTCGAGACAGGGGAAACACTGTTCTTGAGAGATGCCAGGTGGGACCACTGTACCTTCCAAGAGAACAAAACACAAACATTCAATGCAGTCTGCAGAAAACATGGAGTCCCAAGCAGGAAGGGACAGGCGGAATGTAAACCAGGGCAGTGCAGCAGGGGACGCTGGCGAGGTGGCCGAGGGCACACAGCAAGAGGGAGGGGCATGCACACAGGAAGCCGTGCACATCCAACGAACACTGCAGGGAACAGTGCGAGCCGGGGGAGGCTCTCACGGGAGACAGCGGGCTGCACGCAAGGCCGAGACAGGCAACGACTCGCCGTCCTCGGTGGGAACCCCCAGGAGGCAGCCACCCAGTAGCCACTGAGCGCCCAGCTTCCACAGACTGCCACGGTGCCACTCCCAGCAGCCTGGGCTACAAATGCAGCAAGGAGTTCCCTCTTTTTTCCCAAGGTTTAAAGCATTTGTAACCTAGATATGTTCAGAACCTTTACTACTTGTTATTAAAAAAAAAAAAAAAAAAAGAATTATTCTTTAAAATACTGAGCAGCATGAGATTTGTGAGAAGACTGCTGCTAACTGACCGACTGTCTCACTGACAATTCAGGAAATGTGCGACCTACTCAGCTGAGTTCTGGTTGCTTGTAAACTAGGAAAACATTTGAAGTACTGTGAAGTATTTTCATTTAACTACACTTGTTTTAAAATACTTGTTCAACACTGACATTTACAGAATGCTAGCTATATACCTATTATGTTGATGTATTCAACAAAAACATAAAACACCAAGTCACAATGTGTTTTAATAGGAGGCACAGGTATACGCTTTCTGTGATTTAAAGAGGTTAAATAACTTCATTATTTAGTATAATTCCAGATACCCAATGTTTAAGATCTGTAAGGGAAACATATACATGAAAGTATCTCCAAACATTACAATGGGATTTAAGTTATCGTTCCATGAGCCAAGTTTCCCTCACGAATGTTCTGCAGGTTTTAGCCAAAAGCGACTTTCAAGTAAAGCGGCAGAGCGGGCTGTGTCCAGGCGCTGCACTCACCAGTCCTGGGTCAGGAGACCCAGGAGGGCCAGCAGTCCACATTCAGGGGCGAGTGGACAGAGGCTTCCTGCCGGCTGTGAGCCTGACATCCAGAGCGCAAGCCTTCGTCCCACTCGCGCTGACCGATGCCCCGGTGCTAACACGAGGGCACTGTCCTGCCTCTCCTCTCTTCCCTCTTCTTTTCTCTCTGCTGCCTACTCTGGAGCCCCCTGGCTGCCAACCCTCCAGCTGCTCACAGCACTGCCGGCAGCCTCAGCAGCCCTGGCCCACAAGCGCTGTGCCCCTCCTCGCAGCGGAGCCCGCTGCCCGAGGGTGCGATGGCCTGCAGTGCTGGCTCCACTCCTCTCACACCTGCTCTCTGAGCACCCCCACCTTTTCTGCCTCAAGAGCCTGAGCTTGGTTCCTCCCACACACTGCCAGTAACCAGGATGCCCAACAGTGTAGACGGCCCCGCAGCAAGGAAGGCTCCGTGCAGCCCCTGCTCTGACACGTCAGGGCTGCCTGCAACCTCGGGCTGGTGACCCCCACGGGACTCTGTGGTACTGCTGGCAGACCAGACCTTGGGTGTCCTCCATCAGCCAACAAGACAGAGCTGCACTGCACTCAGGGGTGGCCGTGACCTCTGCCTTGACCCCACGGGAACCCACGCCTAACACCCAGATCATGCTATTTTGGGTCTGTATGCCTCCAAAAGCTGGTAAACAGCCCTCTTCCCAGAAAAATATTCACATTAGTCAAATCCAAAACTCCTGTATAGAATTTCCAGGGATCCTCACTGGTTTTGGGGGGCCTGCTGGAACACCCAGCCTGGGGCAGGGGTCAAGGGTGGAGCTGCAGGTCTAGCATGCAGGGCAGAGGTTCTGCTCCTCCTCCTCTGCATGTCTACAGGAGTAATCCTCTAAAGAGCCGGCTACAGAAGCCTTGAGCTCTTTAGGAGGAGGTGCCTTCCCTGTGAGCTGGGGAAGGCAGCAGGCTAGCAGGCCTCACAGACCAGGCACTCCCGCTGCATCCGAGACGACCCCCGCCCCTGGCCCTTGAGCGAGTGCACCCCGGGGGCCTCCGGCTGGCCCCGGCCCTTGAGCGAGTGTGCCCTGGTGGCCTCCGGCTGGCCCCCAGCTCCTTCCTCCAGTGACACCGAGCCACAGCTGCGATCCAGGTGGCTACACTACCTGCGGCTCCGCTGATCTCTGCAGGGCAGGGTGCACCGACTCGGAGTTGCCATTGGAAAAAGACTCCGACCGGGAAGGCACTGGTGGCTCCAATACTCTGCCTGTTTGCTTAGCCTGGGCTTCAGGGGAGTTGTGGTTAGTTTTCCTAAATCTATCTTCCACCTGCATCAGAGAATTAGAAGACAGACTCCGGGTTAGTAGGAGAAAGAAAGCACAGATGCTGAAGCAAGCTCGAAAGTGAAAGGACTCTAAGAGCTTCCCAGTTCCTTCTACTGGAGAGGGGGCAGAAGAAGAGGGCAGAAAAGGCAAGGCCAGGCTCTGACCCAAGAGAAAACACTTCTGAAGGCAAAATGAAGTGATGCAGCCCTGAGCATCTCCTACACCCCGAGTCTGGGGAACTATACACAATGAACCTGGGAAAGGCCAATCTGGCACAAGCCACTGAGGCAACAGGTGAAAAGATGACCATCAGGAACCCCAAATAGGCTTCACCCCTCCCACAGGCAAGGTGGCACCTGGACAGGTAGCAGGAGGTGGGAAGCCACAAGCCAGGACCCCAGCCCTGCCTGCACAGCCGCATCCTATACCCAAGGGGACCAACGCCAGGGGTCATACTCCTACCAGTGCTGGACAATTATGACCCAGACCAGACCATTCCCATTTCCATGCTCCCTCTCATTTATACTTAGAAAACGGTCGCACACACAACCCTCTGAGACTGTTGGCGAGGCACTTCCTCTGGTCTTCGTGGGAGACACAGTAACCAGACAGGAAAGCTGGGGCAAGTCCTCCACTAGCTGGAGCAATCACCGCCCCAACACAGAGCCCAGGCCAGCGCGGGAGGAAGCAGGTACCTCGCGGGCTCTGTCCGCAGGGTCGTAGTGCGGCTTGGGCTCAGGAGCATGATAGCCCGCTTTGCTCCGCTCCTGCTGTGGCTGTGGCGGCTGTGGGTGCTGCGGGTGCGGCCTCCGGTGGTCGTGCTGTAGAGACAGGAGATATGCTTGTTCTTGTTGCAACTGCCTCTGGAGCCTCTCTGCCTGCCGGTGCTCCTCCATCTCCCGCCAGCGGCACTCCTTGGAGAGGGAGAGAACACTGAATCTGCGGGCACAGGAAGCGCGCCCTGCTCGGATCTGTGCTCTGCTTTCTCCTCAACGCAATACATTTCCACCCCACTTCATAACAACGTGGGACAGCTGGGAGTCTAAGCAGTATTATTACCTGTGGAAAAATCTCACAGCGCTTGCTAACTGAGACGCCACAGGACAGAGTGAGAGAGAACTGAATTTGGAGGGGAGGTATGCACACACTCAGCCCAACTCCTAGCGCTCGAGCTCTGACGCTGCAGCCCCTGGCCTTCTAGCGCGCTCATCGGGCTCTGTGCTAAGTTTGCCCGCCTATCACACAAGAGCAGTTAGCTTGCTGGCGGGACAGAAGGGTGAACGGGAGCCACCTTGCGCTGTCCACCTTGTATGACCAGAGAGTGTGTCTCAGTTTGAGCCTGGTGCCCACGGCAAGACCAAGTGGTCTGGCGATCACCACAGTGGGTGACTTCGGGGAGGGACGGCGAGCCCGAGCCCTAGCGCTCGCTGGGGACTGGGACAGAGGCGGGCGTTACCAGTAATATGGCCTGCTCCTGGAGCAGCTGCTGCTGAAGGATTTCCAAGTGCCGCTGCTCCTCTTCTAGCTGTCGCCTGATATACTCCTGTCACACAGAAATTACCCAGCAATCAATTTATCCCAGAGGAAAACATCAGAACCACCAGCGCAGCACCATGAGCCGTGGCCCCCACCACGTCCGGCAGTAACTCCCTTAGCAGGGAGCACCGCTTCTGCAAGCCACCTGCTGCTCACGACCACCAAGGACTTCAAATTGGCCTCAGGACCCAAAGAGTCAACTGCGCTCCAGTGATCTACACAGAGCCTCTGACACACTGCTGCTGCGACACCACAGTCAGATACCGGGCAGGATTAAAGGAGGGGTTCCTTGTAAGGAAGGCAGACTCCAGAGAGGCTAGAGTTCAGCGAAAAGATCAAAGGAATGCTAAAGCATGTCTCACCCAATACTAAAACTTGAAACCTAAACCTGGTTATAAAAAAAAACAAAAAAAAAACCCACACAAGATTTGTGTTTCCTCTGATGATTTGGAGGCACCTGGAATGAGGACGACATCCTGAATGCCACAGTCTAGGGACCAGGTTCAACTCCTTGCAAATAAACAGGCCCAGGTCCTTGGTGATAGCTCTCCTATCTCTGTCTCTCCCCGCCTCCTCTGCCCTTCCTGTGTGCGTGTGTTCACGCGCACGTGTGTGAGCGTGTGTGCGTAGCAGGAGGATGTCTTCTCCAATAAGAATGCTCAACCCACTAACAACGAAAACAGCTAAGCACAGCCAGAATATGGCACGCAGAGTCCAGACCCTTCCTCAAAGTTGCAAGCATATCACACGGACAGTGAGACCGGGAGGCTCTGGCCCAGCTCACTGAGAGCCAGTTCCAGCCCCGCTGCCAGCTCTGGACCTCCCTCCGCCTGCTCTCCTTTGGGAAGTCACTGTCACACTCTCCCCACGCTCAGCGTCTGAGGCCCAAACAGGACACAGCTACAAGGAGTGGGGGAGCAGCCCAAAGTAATTTTAAAGAGTAAGAAACATTTTCTACTAAAACATCCTTCTTCTGTGACAGGAAAAAAAGTTAGCTTCTTGCCCTGGAAGGGGAACAGATCAAGGGCATTCAGAGAAACCTACCCTGAGATCTAGGTTGTGCTTTGATAATATCTACTGCTGTCCATGGCCCTAGACACAGGCCAGACAGGAGTTTAAACTAACCAACCATTCTGGTTAGGAGAATGCTGAACGACAGAACTCACAATGCATAAACATCTTCAGAAATCTTTATCTTGCAAAGAAAATCAAGTGCAAAAAGCCAGTCTGTGGAGAAGCTTATCCACAAATCCACTCCTGCAGACTCTGGCCTGAAGCCCAAGTCTTCTTCCCCACACCTGGCCCACCAGGACCCCACTCTGCCCAAGAGCTGCCCCTGCAGGGGTTGTGCACCCTCACCCAACTGTACCAAGAGAAGGGGTCCACACGGTTCATTTTGCTTTAAATGAAGCAGAACGAATTCCACCTTGGAAGACCAAGCTATACTCCTTTGTTTTCTGCCTTTAAGTCATGGGACAGTCAGAAAAACCACACTCTCTCCACACTGCAATGATCCCAACATACAATGAACTCACTACACAGGACACACACACACACACACACACACACACACAGAGGAGCTGTGTGCCATGGCACCGTTCACATGGCAAGTGCTGCTTTGCACAGGTAAAGGAGAGCGGGGTAAAACTGATTTCAGAGGTTTTCATTCAAGAGGCCCAGAAAACTTACTGTTGCAAATCCTAAGTGCCACTTGGAGATAAAGTACTAGCACCAGGGCTGGCCAAATAACTCAGTGGATGAAAGCACCTGCAAGCAGGCTCAGGGGCCAAGGGTTCAATCCCTGGGCCTGCCGTGCTGGCCCCGCCTCCAGGGTGCCTTGAGACTACAATTGAGACTGGGAGTGGTGGCACGTGCTTGTAATCCCAGCTCTTGGGAGGCTGTAAACAAGCGGATCACTATGAGTCCGATCTAATAGTGAGACCCTGAACACCCTGTAGATCCTTCCCTAAAATTAAAAAAAAAAAAAGAAGAAGAAGAAGAGAAGAAGAAGAAGAAGAAGAAGAAGAAGAAGAAGAACAACAACAACAACAACAACAACAACAACAACAACTAGCACCAAAGCCTCCTGTCGCAACCGGGTGCTGAGACTTCAGCCCAGGCAGCCTCCTCAAGACTGGCTCAGCATCTCTGCAGCTGCAGGCATGGGCACGGTAGAATGTTAAATGAAACACATACTGTCCCCAGCTAGCCAGTAAAGAGTCTGTAAGGTACTGGGTAAAGAATGGCACTTAAGTCCCTAGGAAAAAGCTGGCAGCAAGCACACCCACCCAAGGCCCGGGACCAGGCCAAAGTTAGCTGGGCATGGTCCATTCTGTATTTATCTGGATGGTTCAAGAAACAGACTTTCTAAGTAAAATTGCACTTGCCATTAATAAAATGCCACAAATAACATTAAAACATGGTCTTTTCTGGATTATTATAAAATGTTAGCAGTTCTTAAATGCTGGCTGTGGTTGTGTGTGTGTGTGTGTGTGTGTGTGTACATTCCAGTGCTTGCTTGGCCACCGGATACTCGCTGTACTTCTCAGTGCAACACCCTTGCAGGTGATCTTTAACTTCCTTCCTACACAGAGCTCACGACCATTTGTGCAGCTGAGGCGCCAGCGTGCCCGCGGGGGTACGCCTGCCCGAGGCGCAGGGGCACACGCCTACCCGAGGACTCCGTCTGGGCAGGCCTCTGCAAGCTCACCTGCTCTCTCTCCACACGCCTCTTCTCTTCCTCTGCCCGCCTGCGCTCCTCCTCCTCCTTGCGCCTGCGCTCCAGCTCCTCCAGCCGCCTCTTCTCCTCCTGCTCCCGCCTCCGCTGCTCGCGCTCCTGCTGCCTCCTGACCTCGCGTTCCCGCCTTTGTTGCTGCAAGGTAAGAGGTGAGCACACACCGCCTTCAGAGCTCCGGGCTGGGCCCCTGGGGCAGCACTGAGGGCAGCCTGGCGCGTCCGGTTTGCAGCCGCGCGTTCCTACAACCTACAGCACGATCAGGCCCACGTAAAGGCCGGTCCAAGGGCTGCCCCTCCAGGAGCCCTGACAGCTCTCACTTTGCTCTGCACCCACCATTCACTGTGCTATGGCAATCAGGGGACAGAGAGCTCTTTATTCTTTGGTGTCATTCAATTACCTCAGATCCCTAAACAGGAAAAAAAAATGCAGAAAGGAAAAAGTATAAGGCAAAATGAGAGTGACAAAGATAAAGGAGAGAAAGATGGGCATCTCCAAGGGCCACAGGCCTCGCCACTGTTACTATGAACATTCAAACTCCTCGCTAGACACCTCCTGAGGAGAGCACATGTTCTGCAGAAGTAAGAGACTGGGCCACTTTTGCCAGCCAGCCAAGCAAAGCAGCCAACCTGCCTCACCACACGCCGCCCGCATCCCCTCAGCAGCCAGAGGCGCTGTCACAGTCAGTGCGGAGCAGCCAGGCACAGCCGCCATCACCCACGAGCTGCCGCTCACGCAGGGCAGGGTCTACCACCGATCAGGCCCCCGCAGGCACATGCGAAATGGGGAGGTCCAGATGCTCTGGAGTGAGGGGAACGCCGGCTAGGCAACGTTCAGAACCGTCACTGTCACACGGACTGTAGCTGACACAAGCAAAACACTTCGTTTTGCCTATTCACTCACCCAAGTCAATTAAACGGCTGTCTGCACCAGCAATCACACCGACAGCAGCAGTCCTGAAGGACGCGCAGCCATCGAGTGTCTGTGACACAGGGCTGATGTTACCTAAACTAAGTGTGGCACAAAGCACCAGGTAAGAAGCCCACCCCTACGGTGGGCATACAAAGCAGGGGCCATCCAAGCTTACCTAGGCCTCTGCATCCTCGTCCCGACCCTCCAGCTCACATTCAGTTTAAACGAGACCCAGTGCGCCCCGAGAGGTGAAGGCAGTGTGCTGCATGCAGTGTAACAGGCAGAGGTGCCTGCTCGGTGCCACAGCAGCGTGCGTCCTGGCCTCTCGCGCCGGCTGCCAGCACCATTCCTGATGTTCTGTGCCAAAGCGGCACTCAGCTGCGCTGCCTCGCTCAGGACTGGTATGCTTTCTCCCACTGTCTGCCAGAAGCACAAGCTCTCCGCTGCCACCATGAGCGTAGCAGGCCACAAAAGAATAGACTCACACCCCCGCACGCAAAACTACAACCTGCAGGGATCGACACCTTCGTGACGTCCTGACACCTACACTGCCCCCAACCAACGCACTTCCCACCTAGCGCTAGAGGACCTGCATTATAGCTTATTAAACTTTGTCTTTGAGAAAATTAGACTACAGTCTGTGTCAACCCCAGGGGCAACTGAAGGCACGCAGCTTGCTCTACTGCTGAGCTTCCCGGCTCAGCACCTTTCTGTGTCAGACCTGACCCAGAGCTAGTACTTGAGGGAAAGGGACAAAGGCACAGACGGAAGATTTGAACACAGGGCCCTGCCCTGTGGAAAGAGACCAAGAGACGGCTTCTGGGGCACGGCAGGATCCACTCCTCAGCTCAGCCTCTCTTCTAAGGCCCATTCAAGTAATGCACTTCCTGGGTGACCTGGGGGCTCAGCACCCTGACGACCCCACCGCCTCTGCACGCAGCTGGGGGGCACGTCACCCCATCACTGTCACCATCACCCAGGATGGACAGCAGGTGGGATCTGACTGCCCCCTCCACCCTACTTCCACAAGCCTTGCTTAAAACCCCCTCTGATGTTTCCAGTTAAAAACAATGAATGTAATCTCACACACTATCTAATTTCCACAATTCACTCCTCCTTTCCCAGTTGACATTGTTGCCTATACCACTTTCATTTTCTCAGGCAATCTAGTGGGATTTCTCAAAGTTTCTATTGCAATGTTCTGTTCCTCAAAGTCAATACAATACTTAGAAAACTGAGTTGAATTAAAAACATACTATCAGAGGGGCCAGCCTGATAGCTCAGCGGATTAAAGTATCTGTTTAGGCAGATGCGGGGACTGGGGTTCAGCCCCCCGGGGACACACTGAGATGGCAACTGAGACTGGGCACAGTGGCGTGTGCCTATAATCTCAGTGCTTGGGAGGCTAAAAACAGGAAAACCACTATGAGTCTGATCTGTGTAGCGAGACCCTGTAGACCCTGTACTAAATACAAAAAATTAAAAATTAAAATACACTATCAGAAGGGCAATTGTCACATTCAAAGCAGGGAAGGCTACCTTAAGAAAAATCTCAATTATCAACCGAAAGTCTCCAAAAGGCTTTTTCTTCTTAGTTTCATGTGAAACTTTAAGACCTAAAGTTCTCTAAAAGCATCAGGGCTGCTTGTTCGTCTTCTCCTGAACGGCAAGTCACCTTCACCAGAGAAATCCTTTCTGGTGGTGAAGGCCCAGGCGCACTTGGCACGCATCCCACCACAGAGCGGGCTCCTCCTCAGCCTGTGTGTGCCTTCGGTTACATGGTATCTGTCACACTGAGCATGTGACATCTAAGACAGCCCCTGTGGTGATCTTACCTAATATTCAGCCTTTAAAGTAGCAAGGGCTAAAGAATTCCCTCAGGGCAAATCCACCTCTGCTCCTCCAGCTGCCTCCACAGGATCCTGGGGTGAGGGCACACAAGGCTTGAACGTCCATCATGACCTCTGCCCTTGGCTGCGGCGCATGCTCTACAGGAGCCCCTGAAGATTCTACAGTGGCTCCGGGTCTCCAGTGAGAGATAGTCACACCAAGGCCCATTTCCAAATGGGTAGAGATTCATACAGACGATGCACAATATACACAACAGGAAATGGCTGGTTTGAGAAACAGTGAGTGCCACAGGTACACAAGGGTGACTTCAAAATAGGCCTTCTCTGAGTCCTAGAGGTAAGACGAGTCACTCCAAACACTACTCACACTTCCTGTGCTCCGTGTCAACATGCACAGTGACCCATCCGATCCATCCAGTCAGCCTAATAGGCAACTGATGTGAAGACTAGCCTCTTGCATTACAACCTCGAAAGCAAACACCAAAATCGAAGTGCAGACTGCTGACAGTGATGCATGTCGCCTTAATCTTATACCTGTTACTCCAAATCAAACTTAGGCAGGCACTTATGCTGCTGAGCTGTATGCCCAGACCTCAAACAGCAAACTCTAGCAAGTATGCCTTTTCAGGCTTATCTCGCTTAAGAACAACCAATTAACCCTTCTAAGTTTCTACAAACTGATGTCATTATTATTTTCCTAAATCATTCCTTCTGGAAAATAAGATGGAACAGCCTGAAAAAATGACATGACTCCGTAATGATTTCCAAATCTCTCAAATCATAAGAGATTTCCTTACAACTTGAGTTCCCCCAAGAATGTCCGGTACATACATGCTTTTCAGCTATGCTTTATTTACCCAAGTTACCCGTACAAGGTGACATTTAGAGCGACACTTTCATCTCATGATTCTAAACCCTTCCTCAGTTACAGTGCCACCACACTTTGGCCCATTTAAACATATGCCGGGGTTCCCATTCGGTCGGCAGAGCCCGCAGTGTGCTCCTCCTAGATTTACAGTGTGAACTGCACATGCACACTACCAACCCAAAACTCCGTTTCCTCACATGCAAGTTCTGATGAAGCTGTAGTGTAAACCACTGCCTCGGCTCAAACATAACTCCTTCCTACCTTTACACAAGTAACACTTGTTGAATTAAACTCCTTAAAAAATGTAACTTAAACATAACCAACCACTAGACTGGATGCCAAAAGAACATCTGGGAACGTTAAGAGAGGCTCTCAGAACCAAGAAACCACTTGCTGCAGAACACGTGGCCACTGCCTGGACCAGGCCTCGGCTGTGGGGCCTGGGCTGCCAGAACACGTGGCCACTGCCTGGACCAGGCCTCGGCTGTGGG